TGTGTAAGGAAAATGTTTGATATTTTTTGGAAATGTGATCACAGGGTTTCATGTCTCGACATTGATTATGAGGCTACACCTAAAACAATGGAAACTAAGACTTCTTTTTATCCTCAATTTCCTCATTTGACTTCACAAGAAAGCAAGTAACCACGCGAAAGACTTAAAGTAAAGCTTATAAAATCTGTATGTGTTTGTTATGAACAGAAAACGCAAAGAGTAACATTTATCTATCACATATCACAAATCTATCAGGGCTCTGTGGGGCTCTCACTGCATATCTTGCTGACACTTCCAAGTAGCCAAGTAGTAGGACATACCCAGGCCTACACAGATCCAGCCGAAGAATTTTTGCCCAGCAGCTGCTGTGTTTTGTTAAGGGGTAGAGCAAGACACAAAGCTCGAGACTCCAGAGAAATGGACATCTGTGGGATGACACAAAGGAGTTGAAGCTTGAAGAGAAGATGAAAAATATGCAGAGCAGCAGCCGAGTAGACCAGAGCAGAGAGGCTGCGTTTAGATAGAGGAGCTGAGTGGGATGAGATTGCATTCAAACATTCTCTGTAGCGCTCAGTAAATCTGGCAGCTCCTTAAACATATGTATGTATGTTTCAAAGGCAGGACTGAAGAGATTAGAGATCACAGGGAACAATTATAGAACTCTGAGAGCTCAGCAGGAAACGCTTTACAAAACAAAATGAGACACAAATGCTATGAACAAATAATGACTCATTGTTGGTATCACGATTGTGTAAACCAATATCTCGAATACTGAAGTCCTTAAAATATTAGTCAAAGAAATACTAATGAATACCAAAAATTCTTTCATCGAATTAGATGCTCATTTTCAGCAGTTTCAATACTAACAGCACCGTCTGTGCCTCCTCCAGCCCCTCCACACTCACTAGCAGCTGAAGTAGTTGATGTTCACAATGGTGAAGAACACTTTAAGAGGAATTTTGTGAAGCGATAACGCTCCTGCTTTCATACAAATGAATCTGCTCACACATTCAGCTTTTCCATTAACATCAGACGTCTCTTAAGTCATCATTAAGGCAGCAGCTATCGGCTACGGATAATAATAAAATGATAATGTTAATGCTGGAGCTAGACAACAAACGTCATTGTCCCTGTCAATCTATAATTTAAAAGCTAGGGCTAATTTAACAGGATGAGACAGTTATTTGTGTCTAAAAAGTGATTCTCTTGTTTCTCAGAGTGAAACCTTGGCCGATTGTGACCCCAGCCCATTTTCACACTTTGTCTCCTGTGATTAGGCAGAGGATCAATAGGGAATCCATGACCCTACTGGGGACCCTGTTTAAGCCCCATAGGGCTTAAAATCTGGGACTCAGTTGTTCTTAGAACTAAAGAAGCTTCTCAGATTAGAGGTGAAACGTCTTCAAGGAAACTCTAGACGCTTTTCTTTCCAGGCTCCTTAGACTATGACTGAGAACCTTCACAGACATGGTTATGTTAGTCTATTTTTCTGCACTGCATTAATCAGCTTAAAAATAAGTTCGTCACTGATGTTATTGTTTGTAGTCAGTGTTGGGAAGGTTACTTTTAAAATGTATTCCATTACAGATTACAGATTACATTCCCCAAAATGTATTCTGTAA